ACTCTCCACCAAGCCTGTACTTGTGGAAGATAATAGGCATATTACCTTCTTGGAATGCAGCACCTTGTTTTGTTTTGTTTTTGGTTTTTAATTATTTACTTGTGAAAGAGCTGGACTTTCAACATTAATATATTGAATTTATATAGTCAAAACTGATGATTTATCTGCGCATATACAGCCATAACTACCAAAACAGGATTAAATTCAATACTGCCGAATGCGTTTGTACAGTATTTTTAAACATTGTCCACCAGAACTAGACCAGCTCTTAAAGGGCAAATGTAAAGGTGTCAATGCATTTGATATTCTGTAAAATGAGATTTTGTATGTTTAAACCCATAACAAGTTAGCATGTGCTATAGTCAGCAGCATGGAAGATTACTTTTGTACAGAAGTCCTTCTTTGTTTTGTATGGAAAGAAAAATTTTCCTATAGCTTTGCCAGTAAATTTTCCTATTATAGAAGCAATGCCAAGTGGCTAGCTCAAACAGCCAGTCTTGTGTTGAATCACTTAAAATTCCCCAGCCTCGTTGGTGTAGCTGTAGCTGTATTCACACCTTTTGGCAGGCAAGCATCACAAGAATCTCACACCAAACCAACATTTTTATTGTGGCAGTTTTCTAACTGCAACATTTCCCCATGTCAATATAAGATCAGTTTATGTGGAAATGGAACTGAACATTGTGGTAGCAGAGCATGGAGCAGTTATTCAGTAAGTGCAAACAAGTTGAGAGAGCACTCTGATGAAATTTAGAAGCCAGTTGAGTTCACAACACAACAGCAAGCGATAAATGCAAAGTAAAAGACATTGGGGAAAAAAGTCTGAAGGAATTGTGCATCTCACAGGGAAAATTCTCATTCCAGAGAAGTCAGTGAACATTATTGTCTGCATGAAGCCCAGTTAAAGAGGATGAGAGGAAATGCAGAGAGAAAATCCATTACATTAATGCAATAAACTTAGCAGTTTCCATTGTCATTTAAATCAAAAGACTAAAAATCCATAAAAATGCAGGAAGAACAGTTATTTGATTAATAAGGAAGCAGATTTTCTACAAAAAGTGACTGAAATAATTGGGATGGCTTAATTTACATCAGGAAAAAAGACAATAAAACTTAGATATGAAGGGACAGGACAAAAACCATGAAATAGTGAATGAGACAAAAAGAGTAAAGTGAGGACAGATCTTTATGTCCTAATCAAAGCGCAAATAAGCTATTTGAGGAAGTAAAAAGTGGAAATTTGAAAACTGATGAGGTGTGTTTTGACATGTATCATAGTTTCACTGTGAAATTCATTGCATAATAATACAACTTGGCTTACATGTGAAGGTGAGAGAGGCTTTATGTGTATTTCTCGAATTATACATGCATGTATGTGTACAGAAATATTCACACATCTAAAGTTTCTTTGAATACGATTAATTTTTTATGACGGATTTATTTTTTATTTAAATTTGCATTACATGAAGAGTGTGTACATGAAAAGTTAAAGAGTACAGTGTTGTTATAAGAAATTATAGCTAATACTTTTTGACAATGTAAACATGTTTGTTCAGGATTTAAGAATGTTTATAACAGTGAAATATTAGGAAAAACTAAAATACAAACAATCCACACCTATGGCATATTATTTCCTGATTTTCTATGCGAACACTGACACTTCTTCCCACATCTTGCATTCTGATAAGATTTGAGCTATACAGAGCATGAGTTCAATTTAATATCCAATTTAATATTCTGGAAATATTATAACTGAAACATGATTGAATAAAATGCATTTACAATCAAGACACTTCATACCAGAAGAACTTGGAGAATGTAGAAGGAATCGGAAAAAGAAGAAAAAATTCAGTAAGGGTTAGTAGGGTTTTTAAATTTCTATTGTAAATGGGAAAAAAAAAAATCCAAAGTGCAGGGACATTTTCCATGAATACTAAGATAAGACTTGTTCAGTAAATATGGTTTTAAAGTCAAATGAAGGTTTGAATGAAGACTTTTCTGAAACAGAACAGAACATATTTCTGCACAGAAAGTGGAAATTTTACATTGTTTTAAATGAAAGACAGACTCTTCTGCAAGAAAAAAAATAATCCATTCTCTGAAACTTTGATGATCTGCTGTTTTCTGACTTTTTGATGAGTTCAAATCATGTGAAATGTAGTTGGGAAAAAAGACACTGATTTAGGAATAGGATTGGATTTAACCTGAGATTTTTCAGAATAATGTTCATTTGGGATCACTGATTCATATAATTGATTTAATTAGCTCACTATATTGTAACAAATGATGCTTAGATATAACTTATCTTCCAGAGCCTCCTAAGCTTAACTGAAGATTCTCTAAGACAGAGAATTTATTCACTTACTTTGGATGGGTGATTAAAACCCTTCATAGTTTAAAATTGGGTTCTTATTTAAATTTTGCCTATTTCAACTTCCATACTTTACATTTTGTTTTACTTTTCTTCACTAGATAAAACAATGTTTATAAATCCAACATTATTTTCCTGTGAAGGTACCTGTTCTCTTGTAACTGCTTTTTTGGTAGACTAAATAGATGAAGCAGGTTAAGTTTCTCATTATGGTACTTGCTCAAGTCTTTGGGTATGGGGTTTTTTTGATTCTTTGTCAGTCCATCAAGCATCTTGCTAGTGAAAAATTGTATATTTTCTTCTGTATAATTGACAAAAATGCTGGAAACATCAGACTTCTTTCCCTTCCTTCTGGAAGCAATTCCATTCAGTGAAATCCCCCTGATGCTGACAATAATTAGAGATCTATCAGGTATCCAGTACAAAATTTATTTATCATATGCTTTCCTGATGTTCTAAAGAACTAATTAATGATCAGAATGTTATGAAATACCAAGTTAAACTATACAGAAATCTAAGACTATCACATCATTGGCAGGTTATTCTGTAAAGCTAAAAGTCTTCTCAAGGAATTAAATCAGGTTTGTTTGACAAGACCTATTTTTTTATACAGCCATGTGGAGTGGCATTAATTTTATTCCTGTTTGTTAATCCTTAATTAATCAAATGTCAAATTGGTGTTTCCATTTTCACTTTGAATATGCAAGTTCATCTTTAGCTGTGTTCTGGAAATTATTTTTTTTTTTTACTGTTGATAGAGAAAGCAAATTTTTATCTTTTCTCACTCTCTCCTCCATTTTAGGAGTTACAGTGCTTGAAGGGCCTATTTATGCAGTGGGAGGACATGATGGTTGGAGTTATTTGAATACAGTTGAGAGGTGGGACCCTCAAAGTCAGCAGTGGACATTTGTGGCCAGTATGTCAATTGCCAGAAGCACTGTTGGAGTAGCAGCATTAAATGGCAAGTGAGTAGGGTATTCTTACACGGTTGAAAAAGATTTCTTAGAGGGATGAGTAACTGTGAAACACACTAGTAAATAACTTCTAGCATATTCTCATAGAGGGTGGCATGTAAAATAAATGTAGACACAGTTGTGCACACCCTCCTATATCTCATGACTCTTACATTTATTTGAAATAAGTAGTTTATGTATTTTTTCTATGTGATTTTTTTTTTTTTTAATGACAAATGTTTAAGAACGTAGACCTGAAATTTCAGTGTGTGTATGGTATAAACCAATTCAGGACAAATTGTCAGTTGACTCATCTAAATTTTGTACATTCTGTATGTCAGTTACAGTTAAGCGAGTTTACCCATCTAATACAGACATGTGCCCACTTGTAGAATTTGTTCTGTATGCATTTTGTACCTTGCTTCAGCCAAACACTCACCCATGAACCCTTCTTTGTCTGAATGCAGCCACATGCACACAGCAAGTGAACAGAAATTTGATTATTGTCAGAACAGTCAGGCTACATTAAACCTGTAATTCTAATTGTGTTCAGAAAACTTCCGCCTTTGAATACTTTAATATGGCACTTACTAAAACTCATAATAATGTGATATTATGTATTACTTGTTGCTTATCACTTTTAAAGCATTTCCTTTTGGCTATGTGGCTAAAAAGAATATGGTATGAAGTGTAATAATTTAGAGGTAGGGGAAGAATTAATCACTCTTAACTTGGGTGGTACTTAGTGGATAAAAGGACTTGGGGGTACCGGTGGATGAAAAGCTGAACATGAGCCGGCAGTGTGTGCTGGCAGCCCAGAAAGCCAACCGTGTCCTGGGCTGTATCAGAAGTGTGGCCAGTAGGTCAAGGGAGGGGATTATTCCCCTCTACTCTGCTCTGGTGAGACCCCACCTGGAGTGCTGCGTCCAGCTCTGGGGCCCCGAACATAAGAAGGATATTGACCGGTTGGAGCAAGTACAGAGGATGATCACACAAAGATGCTCAGAGGGCTGGAGCACCTCTCCTATGATGAAAGGCTGCAAGAATTGGGCTTGTTCAGCCTGGAGAAGAGAAGGCTCTGGGGGGACCTTATTGCAGCCTTCCAGTACCTGAAGGGGCTACAAGGAAGCTGGGGGGGACTTTTTACAAGGGCCTGTAGTGACAGGACAAGGGGTAACGGGTTTAAATTGAAAGCGGGGCGGTTTAGATTAGATATCAGGAAGAAATTCTTCCCAGAGAGGGTGGTGAGGCACTGGAACAGGTTGCCCAGAGAAGCTGTGGATGCCCCATCCCTGGAAGTGTTCAAGGCCAGGCTGGATGAGGCTTTGAGCAACCTGGTCTAGTGGAAGGTGTCCCTGCCCATGGCAGGGGGGTTGGAACTAGATGGTCTTTAAGGTCCCTTCCAACCCTAACCATTCTATGATTCTAACTTTAGATTTTTTTTGTATAGACATCTACAACTGAGGCAATCACCCAAAGCTCAGCTCATAGTCAATGGAAGAAATATGTACTTTTAGGATATAATTTGTACTACTCATTTTAGACATTTATGTTCAGACAGCATGAATTGTGTTCTGTCCATTTTTTCTACTAATGATACTGTAAACTGAGGACTCCGTCTCAGATTCTGACTTTGTCATGGTTTAACCCTGTTGGGTAAAAGCACCACCAGCCTTTCTACCACTCTACTCCCCAACCCCCCCCAACCCCCGCTTCCACTGAGGAAGAGTCAGAGGAAAACAAGGGAGGCTTGTAGAAGTTGAGATAAGAACTATTTAATTATATAAATGAAACTTACGGAGTTACTAACAATGCTATTACTAATAAGTAATTAAAAGGATAGAAAAATAGAACAATGATACAGGGTGTCACCACCCGTGGGCAGATGCAGCCGGATTCCAGGACAGCAAGCAATAATAAATCCAAAGCCCTGATGAGAAAAACCTCCTCCCTGAGCCCAGGAGCTGAGAGCAGGGGGAAAGAACAACTTCTAACCCCCACTTTCCCATAGCA